GTACTGAAAACTATAGTATATTACTGAGAGAAAGTAAAAATCTGAATGAATACAGAGATACATGTTCAGGGATCAGACAAGTCAACTTTGTTAAGATGTCAGTTCTCCACAAATTATAGATTCAAAGCAATTCTAAATTAAACCCAGTGGGCTTTCTGTTAGAAACTGACAAGCTGATTATAAAATTTACATGGAATTGCAGAGGAAAAACAATTGATACAGAGTTAGAGAACTCACAACACCTAGTTTGAAGACTTAACATATAGTAATCAGAGAAGTGTGGTATTGGCATATGGTGTTAAAACAATTCATGATCCATTTAGGAAAAAAAAAAAATGGAAACTCCACCCTCACCACACATCATACATGAAAAATTAATTTACAAGATATCATAGACCTAATATAAAAGTAAAACATTAACACATTAAGAAGAAAAATTGGAGAAAATCTTAGCAATCTTAAATCAGGCAGAAGCTTTTTAGATAGGAAGCAAAAGGCATGAATTTTTTTTTTTTTTTTTTTTTCTTGAGACAGGGTCTTGCTCTGTCTCCCAGGCTGGAGAGCATAGGTGCAATCATGGCTCTCTGCAGCCTTGACCTCCGGGGGTCAAACAGTTCTCCCACTTCAGCCTTCTGAGTAGCTAAAACTACAGGTGCATGCGACCACACCTGGTTATTTTGTTTTATTTAAGAGATGGGTCTCATTGTGTTGCTTAGACTGGTCTTGAACTCCTGGGCTCAAGCAGTCCTCCCATTTTGGTCTCCCAAAATGCTGACATTACAGGCATGAGCCACCGTGTCCAGCATCAATTTTTATAGCAAAGTGATAAATTAGACTTCCTTAAAAGACACAATTTAAAAATGAAAAGTAAGCCACAGACTGGGACAAGTTAATAAATAAATTAAATGCATAAACACATTCATGTATATTGTGTGTGTGTGTGTTTGTATATGTGTATTGAACATTCAGGGGCAAGGATATGTATCAAGAATATATGAAGGGCCAGGTGCAGGGGCTCACACCTGTAATCCCAACGCTTTCGGGGGCCAAAGTGAGAGGATGACTTGAGGCCAAGAATTCAAGAACACCATGGGCAACACAATGAGATGCCATCCCTACAAAAAATTGTGAAATGAACTTTGCCATCTCTTCAAAAAATTATGAAATGATTTTTGCCAGGGCACATGCCTGTTATCTCAGCAACTCAGAAGGCTGAGGCAGGAGGATTGCTTGAGCCAAGAGTTCTAGGATACAGTGAACTGTGATCATGCCACTGTGCTCAAGCCTGCATGACAGAGGAAGACTCTGTTTAAAAAAAAAATACACACACTCTTGTGAATATATAGTTTGCCTGTAAAGAACCATTATAGCTCAATAATAGAAAGACAACCCAATTTTCAGTAATGGGTAAAAGATTTGGAAAGATATTTCACTGGAGATGATATGTGAATAGTCAATAAGTATATATATACTTAATATAATTAGTCATCAGGGCAGAGGAAATTAAAACCATTATGAAGTACCATGAGATACCCTCTAGAATGGCCAAAAATTTAAAAGACAGTACTAAGTGTTGATGAGGGTGCACAGCAACTACAACTTTTATGTAATGCTAGTAGGAATATGAAATGATACTATTACTTTGAAAAACAGTTTGACAATTTCTTTATAAGTTAAATATACGTTTACTTATGACTCATCAATTCCATTATTTGTCTAAAGGACATGAAAACTTATGTTCACACAAAGACTTGTTCACAAATGTTTAAAAGTAACTTTACTTTTAATTTTAAAAATTTTTTTTTATTTTATTTATTTATTTTTAATTTATTTATTATACTTTAGGTTCTGGGGTACATGTGCAGATCATGCAGGTTTGTTACATAGGTATACATGTGCCATGGTGGTGGTTTGCTGCATCCATCGCCCCGTCATCTACATTAGGTATTTCTCCTAATGCCATCCTTCTCCAATCCCCCTACTCCCTGATATTACTCCCCTAGTCCCCCCACCCCCCAGGCCCTGGCGTGTGATGTTACCCTCCTTGTGTCTGTGTGTTCTCATTGTTTAACACCCACTTGTGAGTGAGAACATGCAGTGTTTGGTTTTCTGTTCTTGTGTCAGATTGCTGAGCATGACGGTTTCCAGTTTCATCCATGTCCCTTCAAAGGACATGAACTCATCCTTTTTTATGGCTGCATAATATTCCATGGTGTATATGTGCCACATTTTCTTATCCAGTCTGTCATTGATGGGCATTTGGATTGGTTCCAAGTCTTTGCTATTGTTAACAGTGCCACAATAAACATATATTTGCATATGTCTTTTTAATAGAATGATTTATAATCCTTTGGGTATATACCCAGTAATGGGATTTCTGGGTCAAATGGGATTTCTGGTTCTAGATCCTTGAGGAATGGTCACACTGTCTTCTACAATGGTTGAATTAATATACACTCCCACCAACAATGTAAAAGCATTCCTATTTTTCCACATCCAGCATCTGTTGTCTCCTGATTTAATGATCACCATTGTAACTGGCATGAGGTGGTATCTCCATGTGCTTTTGATTTGCATTTCTCTAATGACCAGTGATGATGACCTTTTTTTCATATGTTTGTTGGCTGCATAAATGTCTTTTGAAAAGTATCTGTTCATATCCTTCACCTACTTTTTGATGAGGTTGTTTGTTTTTTTCCTTGTAAATTTGTTTAAGTTCTCTGTAGATTCTGGGTATTAGCCCTTTGTCAGATGGGTAGATTGCAAAAATTTTTTTCCCATGCTGTTGGTTGCCAGTTAACCTGTTGATAGTTTCTTCTGCTGTGCAGAAGTCCTTAAGTTTAATTAGATCCCATTTGTCTCTTTTGGCTTTTGTTGGCCATTGCTTTTGGTGTTTTAGTCATGAAGTCCTTGCCCATGCCTGTGTCCTGGATTGTATTGCCTAGGTTTTCTTCTAGAGTTTTTATGGTGTTAGGCCTCATGTTTAAATATTTAATCCATCTAGAGTTAATTTTTGTATAAGGTATAAGGAAGGGATCCAGTCAGCTTTCTGCATATGGCTAGCCAGTTTTCCCAACACCATTTATTAAATAAGGAATCCTTTCCCATTGTTTGTTTTTGTCAGGTTTGTCAAAGATCACATGGTTGTAGTTGTGTGGTGTTCTTTCTGAGTCCTCTCTAAAAGTAACTTTTTAAATAATGTCAACCCAGATACCTATCAGTAGAAAAATAGATAAACCAAATGTAGTATATTCAATGCAATAAAATACTATTTATTGATAAAAAGGAGCAAATAACTGATACTTACAGCAACATGGATAAACCTCCAAAACATTGTGGTGAGCCAAACAAGCTAGACACTCTAAAATTTTATTTACATAGAACTCTATAAAAGATTAATATGAACCAGAATGAAGATAACTTAATAGAAAGGAATATGAGGACATATCTTGGGTTGATGGAAATGTTCTGTATCTTAGTTGATGTGTAATTACATGTTTATGTATGTATCACAGTTATTGAACTATACATTTAAAATTCATATATTTTATTGTGTATAAATTGTACCCGAATAAAGATAAAAATAATAGTATTTATAAATTCTATTAACTCTTATTTCTAAAGGAAAATAAAAGATAAGTGAACACTTAAACATAAGTTCAAAGGAAGTCTTGCTTGAAATTATATAAAAGTATTTCTTAAAAGGCAATTAATTACTAACATCTAAGTGTGAAAAATTTTTATCTTTAGTGTATTGTGCAGAAAAGTTGTATATTTTGTTTAAAGTTGATTGAAGACAGCAATGTACTTTAATCAGAGGAAAGCATCAATTAAATGTAGAAACAAGATTTAAACAAAGATTCACATTAAAATAATGATAAGTAATGCTTAGAAACTGCATCCTAGATACACATTATTTATATTTTTAGAAAAACAGAAGCATATAGTAGTATGAAAAGATGTTAAAAAATGAATATTAAATTGGTGAGCACAACACATTATATTGACAAGAATATACCATGACTGTAGCTTGCAATAAGTAAATGTCTTCCTCGGTTTTTTCTTCAGGCTTTTTTTTTTTTTTTTACAAGAATTAGTATCAACAAATATTTTCTTTTCTCCCTTTATTTAGTGAACCACACCTTTTCTCATACTGTCTTTTCCCCAAAAAGAAGTGAATTAATTCACCATCTCTTATTACAGTTTTTCATTTTAAAAACAAAAACCACTACCTCAGTTTTCCCTTTCTCTTATTTTCAAAGTTATATATTTAGTCACCTAAGTTATGCTATACCTCAAAATGTTTTGTTGTTTTTGTTTTGAGACAGAGTCTCACTCTGTCACCCAGGCTGGAGTGCAGTGGCACAATCTGGGCTAACTGCAATCTCTGCCTCTCGGGTTCAAGCGATTCTTGTGCCTCAGCCTCTGGAGTAGCTGGGACTACAGGCATGCGCCACCACGCCCAGCTATTTTTTGTATTTTTAGTAGAGACCAGGTTTCGCCATCTTGGGCAGGCTGATCTTGAACTACTGACCTCAGATGATCCACCCACCTTGGCATTCCAAGGTATTGGGATTACAGGTGTGAGCCACTGCTCCCGGCCAAATGTTTTTGAAGCAATTTTTGTTAGGGTTATGCAAATGATTCTTGAGTTCAATGGTACAGGAAATTATGAGCTTGTTTCCATTTTGTATGGTATCAAAAATGTATAAAGTACTGCAAAATGGGTTACATATGTTAAATCTTCTCTTAAAATGGTAATTTTTATGGTCCTTTACTTTTTTCCCCCCTTCTCTTCCTTTATGAGCTGTATCCCTAAAAATCACTTCAGTTACTCAGCTAACCTTTCCCCTCACCCAAGAAAACCATTTTGAAATATGTAGGTGATGTTACTGTCTTCAGGCTTGATGTACCCTGCTGAGATCAAACCTGGTTACTTCACTTAACACTCCTTTTTGCTGGAAAGTTTTAAATATTAGTCTTTGTTAACCTTTCCACAGATTTGTTATTGGGCGGGAAAAACCAGGACAAGTGAGTGAGGTTGCCCAGTTGATAAGCCAGACACTGGAACAGGAGAGGCGCCAGAGAGAGCTGCTGGAACAGCACTATGCTCAGTATGATGCCGACGATGATGAGGTCAGTAGTGCTTGCAGATTCTTTTTTCCACATTTTCTAATTCTTGAAATGCTCTACTGTATAACAGTATGACAGGTTTGATGCAGTTTCTCGAGGAAGGTATGTCTACGTTGAACTAAAATTCTACCTTAGGAAAGAAATACTACTTGCATCTGATATTCATTTAAGAATCAAATCATGGTATCCAGTTTATAGTATGAAGTTTGTGGACACAAATAAGTCTTATCTTTTCACTATTAGAAAGGAAGTCATAGAAACAGAAAAGGATAAAAACACAAAAATGTGAATAATGTCTGTCTTTATTGCTGAAATTGGGTGATTTTTCTCTCTCTGCTTTTTATTTTTTCAATCTTTTCCAAATGTTCTACAATAGTATGTAATGCTTTTCCAAAAAAATCAGTAAACATACTCATACACATAGAAATATACACAGAAAAGTACTATAGATTGCTGAGTGTTTCCAGTGTCTTTTCCCCTCAGGAAGAGAAAGTTCTTTGGATCTGCTCACTCTGATTTGTGCTAACACAATGCAGAACAGAGCTTTCCACTAGCACATGTTCCATTGAGTAGATACATATTGGAATAATTTTACATCCTGCTTTCTGTAGAAGATCAAGTAAATGAATAGAAGCTAACCCCCAAGTGAAAACAGCTCTCCAGAACCCTTGTGTGCTGTAATATAATACAGATGCTGTTCTATTTCTAATGTCATTGCCAAATGCACATTCGTATAATGGGACAACATGCTTTATTATAAACACATTTAAACATGCACATGTTTCATATTGGCATGTCAAAAGATCCATCAACAATTTAATTGTATTTTATACTCCATAAACTTGTACATATTTAGATATAACAAATATTCTTTATTCCAACTGATAAAACCACAGTGAAAATTCATATATTCAACCCCTTCTTATCTGAATATATAATTTTTTAGAATATTGCTTTCTAGCCAGGTCATAGAGATTAATAAACAGACTTTCAAATATTTTTCATGTATTTTTAATCTGAGATGTTTTAACACTAATGTATATTACGATCTCATGAGTATATAATATAATGAGGATATATTCCTCACTTATTATAGCAGAAAATTAGAGGTGGTATATCCGTTAACTTTTGATCATTGGATAATACAGTATAAAGCCCTTAAATGAATGAATTAGACTCTTAGAACCTGATTGATATTCTTACTTGATGAGTTCATTTGAAATGGTGAGTATATTTTCATCACACTGAGATACTTTGTATGAATAATGTTATCTTGAATTTTCAAACTAAAGAAGGGATTTCTCAAATGTTTTGAACTTGTATCTTACCTCGTTTTCAATTCTCTACATTAGTATTTTGTATTTTATCAGAGACACTGATTTACTTTGGCTGCAAGCTTATTCTGAGATTGTAGAATCATTCTCTGCAGGTTTGATTTTTGCCTCCTCACTGTGCTAGAAGGATTTTTCGTCTTAGGTTCAGGGAGTACAGTGACATCAAGTGGTAGAAGGGGATGTGGTCAGGCTTTCTAATCTGTGTGCCTTGGTTTCTTTGGCCTGAAAAGCACAGGGATTCGGTTAGGTCATAAAATTTCTTCTAGCTTCGAATGTTCCATGAATATGAAATAAGACATCAGGTTTAATAAGGAGAGGACAAAGAAGATAGTCAAATTTTTAAGGCACTCCAAGTGAAACATTTAGATCACAGACCACACATTTACTGCAGTTATTTTGAGGCACTGAAATATTATCACATTTATCCCCAAAAGTTGATATAAGATTTTGCCTTTTTTTTTTTTTTTTTTTTTTTTTTTTTAAGACACAGGGTCTTGCTCTGCCACCTAGGTTGGAGTGCAATGACACAAGCATAGTCCACTGTATCCTCAAACTCCTTAGCTTAAGCCAACCTCCTGCCTTGCCTCAGCCTCCTAAGTAGCTGGGGGTATAGGCACACAGAACCATGTATTGCTGATTTAAATTTTTTTTTTTTTTTTTTTTTTTTGCGGAGATGAGGTCTCACTATGTTGTCCAGGCCTGTCTTGAACTCCTGGCCTCAAGCAATCCTCCTGCCCCGGCCTCCCAAAGTGCTGGATTTACAGGTGTGAGCTACCACTCCTGGCCCAAAGTCTTCTTTAACTTGATAATTTGAATAGATGGATAAAGAATATTTTTTACTTGACATTTATACTTAGTAATATATCACATCCTAAATAGAAGATTGCTTATAGGTTTTCTTGTTTGCCTGTTTTTGTAAGATAATCAGAGTTGTCATCTGAGCAGATATTTTCAGGGGCAAGGAAATTAAGTACATATTTAGTGGCAGGCACTTTGTAAGGTGTTTCCTGCATCATCTCATTTAATCTTTAATGCAGCCAGAAGAGATTTTCTTTTATTCCGACAAATGCGGCAGCTGAGGTTTTTTCTGGTCTTACATCCAGTAGTTAGCAGAGTTGGAATTGGAATAAGGTCTTCCTGGCTCCAAAGGCTGGACTCTTTGCAACACACTGTGCTGTTTTTGAGTAGAGTGTACAGAACACGTCTGCTGGGTCTGTCTGTATTCAGGCAGACACAGAATAACTTGGCAACAAATGATGTTAAGAGAATTACTGTTTGGGGTGATGGAGTTTAGGTTCTGTGGTTCTTTATTCTGTATTTCTAATAAAAGGGAAATCAAGCGTTTGGATAATTATTTTACTCTAGGCAACAGTCATAAAGTCATCTTTATAGAATTTAAAGGGAAGAATAATTGAGTACTCAATTTTTTTTTTTTTTTTTTTTTTTTTTGAGACAGAGTTTTGCTCTTGTTACCCAGGCTGGAGTGCAATGGCGCGATCTCGGCTCACCGCAACCTCCGCCTCCTGGGTTCAGGCATTTCTCCTGCCTCAGCCTCCTGAGTAGCTGGGATTACAGGCACACACCACCACGCCCAGCTAATTTTCAGTATTTTTAGTAGAGACGGGGTTTCACCATGTTGACCAGGATGGTCTCGATCTCTTGACCTCGTGATCCACCCGCCTTGGCCTCCCAAAGTGCTGGGATTACAGGCTTGAGCCACCGCGCCCGGCCAATTTTTTTTTAAATTAGTTTAGCTTTAAGTTAACCTGTTTTTTTTCTTTCTGCAAGTTGTAGAAGTAAAAACGAAGTGCTTGCTATGTTACTTCAAGTAACTCACTATGGAAAAAAGTCAAGGAGACTTTTCTTTGTATCCATCACCATCTTCCTCTGTGACTTGGGTTTTCTTCCTTTCTTATATGTTATACACTGTCTCACCAAAACGTGCCCAGATAAATCCAACTGTTACTTTTCAGTGCATAAGAGAAATGAAAGTTGTACAAATAGTGAAATTCCACTCCAGTGTTAAAACTTCAAATTATCACTTGATTCAAATTATTTTTTTCTGAGGGTAAAAAATATTAAATTGATTGATTTGAGTGCTTTTTTCCCATTTTCTATTTACTCTCTGTCTCCCTTTATGAATGAAGAATAAAATGTTGAAGCAGCATAAAAGAAATGAGAAGAACAAATATTGGATAAGTAATAAATAAATCCTAAAATAATTGAGTTAATTATATATATATATATATAATAGAACAATTTATTAATTAATATATCTGTGTTGAAACAGACCCTGGATGTGTGTAATCAGTCACTTGGTTTTTCACTTTTGTGATTTATAGATTCATCTCGTGGTTTTAAAGTTAGAGTTATTTTTATTTGACAATATCCCCTTTGACATTCCCTGTACCGGCCGGGAAAACCTTTAATTAGATACAGAGCAACCAAGTTCATCCAACTGATTTCCAGAGCCAGCTCTTAGATCAACAATGCCTGCTGAAGGATAGATAGCTTCTGTTTTTGATCAGATCATCCAAAGTTGATTGTAACTTGGAACTTGTCACATTGACAAAGAGGAGTTGCTTGCACAACTGTCAGTGTTTAGTCTTTTAGTAGTGAGATGAGGTAATTATGGTATATATTTTGTGTAGTATCTTTATATATATTATTAAAGAGCCTGATACAGTTTGAAGTACTGCAGGCTCACACTGGAAATAGAGTATGAACTGGCACTATATTCCATATGTGAATTAGAAAATAGGTATGATCATTGAAATTAAAATAAACTTTAAAAATTATAATTATTTGGCTTCCTTAAATATTCTTTTGAGACATAATATTTATTACATTGTGAAGTCTTAGCTTATAGATAGCATTTCAGAGTCTCCTTAGGCAGTAGTTCATAACAAGGTTAATCATCACTCCAGAAACTGATGCTCCTTCTAAAATATAATTGAATCTTTCTTTCATAATTTGTTTTCATTACTGGAAATTTATATCATTATAACAATATTATAGCAACATTATTTTTTAGAATCTTTTAAAGTATTGAATACAATTTAGAGTTGCTGCCCACATAGATATGGGTGTTTGTTGCTTGTGTTAGCATGTAATAATTAGAGGCAAAAATATAATGGAGGCTTTGGTTTGCATAAGTATTAAAAGGCATACAAGAATATATTTATGTTGTAAAAAGTGTTAGAGGGATAACATTAAATTTGACTCTGTTTGCCATTTCTAGTTGGAAATAGCTTGTGTGTATAAACAAGTATTGGCAGTTATTGTTGACCTTTTAATAATGTGATTATAATAATGTAAATAGACTGTATACTGTATCTATAATACTGAGAAACTAAGAGTGGGGGCTTTTTTTTTTTAACCAACATGCAGCACTTAACAGTGTGTATTACAATAAGCACTGGGACCTCAGTGTTTTTCTATCCTTTATCATTAGGCTGCTCTCTTTGCGGTGCGGGGTAAGCCTTCTTTAATATTTTTTGTCAACCATTCTAGAACACTGTGGCTGAATTACAAGGAGTGTCTGGCAACTGCAATAACAATAACAACTATTTTCTTAAGGTTTGTTTTTTGGTTGAAAGTAATGCTTACCTGTACTTTCCTGCTTCATATGTAAAATTAAATATTCTTTGTGTCTTATTAACTATGTGT